TTGAAACATTTGAAAATAGTATTATGAACCTTGTAGTTCTTTATCATATGGTTCATCATATGACTCTGATAAAGGTATAAGGTCTTTATTGTGACGATATAAGTAAACAGTTAATTTCAATCCATTAAAACTTGAAATTTTGAAAATAAGAAATTAATTACTTAAGTCTGTTCCTGCAATACCCATTGGAAACGCGATAAACTTTTTCAAAGTTTGTGCGCTTTTTTTATAATATCCAATTGAAATTAGTTGACTGCTCATATATGGATCATATTTTTCGCTTTTATAATCATTGTAAGCTTCTTTAAAAAAAATTCCCTTCATAAATTCTTGCGGAACATCGAATTCTGGATTAGTGCTCTGCAGAAATTGTGCCTAAATTGAAATTTCGTATTTGTAATCAACCCGAACGATCGAGGATAAATTTATAAAGGAAATACAATGACTAAAATTACAGATTGTGTGGCATATTCTTTTGCTGTTCTTATATTTGCATTAAAGTTTATTGGGCTATATCGACGCGTATGCGGAAAGGTCTGGACAATTGGGGAAAGTTGATAAATCTCCGGCTTGCTGTTACCTAAAATGAAAGATACAAAGTTTATGTAAAATACACGATAACATGTAAGAGTCAATTAAATATAACATATTCGCGCTTACGTATTGAAGCGTTCGCGAATTCCCATTTAATAGCGTCTGGCGTACACTGATTATACACGAAACCTCCAAAGCTCCCGAAATTCAAGGCTGTTGAAGTGGTAAGGTAATCTGGCCACGTACACCAAGGTGCCGCCTGAAGTTTGACGTTAGTGGACATTTGTACCCTAGCTTGCAGGATGCATGACTTCGTAAAATTGGGTATTTACCATCGAAAATATCACGGATAATTTAACTAATTTCCGTCATATTTAAAATACACCAGGGAATATACCAAATTGGGAAATTGGTTTCTTTTTTGATTTTGATTGGCTTCACGTAAAAAAATATATTAACTCCGTTATGTAGAATTTAATTTAACGTTACACAAAAATTGTTCACCCCTGTAATTTTGAAATCGAGACGAACTAAATTTTTAAATTAGGAAACCACCTTCTGCGGTCTAATTAAAAATGTTCCTCGTGATGTTTTTACTAATAAGCGCTATATCGTTCTAATCCTA